GGCGCCCGGGCCTGGAGCGGTCCGGCCCGGAAGGGTGACGGCCCCTTGGCTGGCTGCTCCGCCCGCTCGGCCCTGGCGGTGCCCACGCCTCCCACGGCACCGTGGCCGTGGACGCCTTGGTCAGACGTTCGGCCTCGGAGGAGTGTGCCAGCCAGAGACGTAGCAGGACCCCGCCTGGGGTGCAGGTGGGGCAGAAAGAGAAAGAGAAAAAGAAAGAGAAAGTGAAAGAGAAAGAGAAAAAGAAAAAGAAAAAGAAAAAGGGCCCTCATCCCTGTCCGGCGCCCGGTCGGTCGGTCGGCGTAAACGAGCGTTCCGCGCTCAGGCTGTCGTTTCTTTGGCTCTGCGGCGCTGCGCGCACTTCCGCCAGGCAGCCTGCACCTGTCGCTTGGGGGGCACGTGTGGCCCATTTCCTGCCAGGTCCTCACGGACGCTGCTCCACACCGTCTCCCACACAGGGAAACTGAGGCTCAGACGGGCCGGCAGCTTGTCTGTCCACCCGGGGAGCGGTCGGAGCTGGGACTCCGGCGACCCTGCTCCAGTGCTTGCTTTCATTCATTCATCCACTCATTTATTTATTATTATTATTATTAATTATTATTATTATTATTTGGGTGCCGGCGATCGAACTCGGGTCCTTGCGCTTGTGTAGCAGGTGGTGAAACCACTGAGCTAAATCCCCGGCCCCATTCATTTAATTATTTTGTTTTGTTTGTTTTGTTTTGAGACAAGTCTCACTATGGAGCCCAGACTGGCCTGGAACTCATGGCAATTCTCCTGCCTCAGCCTTCCTGCACATGTTGGCTGCGCTGCTCGGGGCCGGGTGCTGCCCAGGGCGAGGATGGAGGGAAGGGAGCATGTGAGGCTGGCAGTTGCGCCTCCCACTCGGGAGCACTGAGTCAGCCCCCCTGTGGCCCAGCCCCACTGGTCCCCTTCTGAGTCCGGGAGCGACTGACCACTGCCCCCTCCTCCCCTCGAGGTTGGGGTGGGCAGAGAGGCCAGGGTCTTCCCGCTGGATTCGAAGCCCAGGCTGATGTTTGAACTTGGGATTTAGTTAGGCACTGAGCCTTCAGCCTTTCCCTGGAGCACATTCCCTGACCTTTTAAAGTTATTTTCGTTTTCTTTGAGATAGGTTCTCACTAAGTCCCTAAGCTGCCCAGGCTGGGCCTCAGCTTGCAGCCCTCCTGCCTCAGCCTCCCAGAATACTTGGATGAGAGGCGTGTGTCACCGTGTCCTCAAATCTTTATTTATTTTTGCCTGTAGTTATGCATTAACATTGTCTGAAACTCAAGTTTTAAAAAGAGATAAGGTGTACAGTGATCCTGCCATCTAGTCACTGCCCTGGGGTCACCTTCCTAGGGATCCCCGTGTCACTGCTTCCCCGGGGAGCCAGGCAGGAGCCACTGAGTCTGGGCCTGGGCCAGGCTGACCTGTTGCCATGGCCATGGTGGTGGCTTCCTCCTGGGCTTGAACTTGCCCCACCCAAGCCACGAAGAAGAGGGGCCTTGATTCCCCTTCTCCCAGAAGTGCCTCACCCCCACCCAGGGCCCCAGGCACCTGACACCCCGAGCTGGGCTCTCTGTGTTCGCCAGGTGTCTTTATATTCTTTCCCACTCTTTCTCCTCTGCAGCTCACTGTCCGCGTGGATTTACAGAGCATTTACTATGTGCCCAGCCTGCAGACACTGTGGTGTGGACACAGCCCGCTCCCCGAGCTCACAGGCCACCGAGGAGGCTTCGTGGAGACAGATCCTCCCCATCCAGGACGCCAAACCACATGCTGTCCCCTGATGGAGAAGCAGGGACCAGAGAGTAATTTGGTGACTCCCAGGAAGGTTCTTAGAATCCAGAAATTTGACTTTCTAAGTTTTATTCTACAACAGGGGTTTTCTTTTTCTTTTTTTGTGGTGGTGGGGTTTAAGACAGGGTCTTGATATAGTCCAGGTTGGCCCCGAACTCACAGCGATCCTCCTGTCTCAGCCTCTGGAGTGCAGAGATTACGGGCATGCTCTGCCACGCCTGGTTTACAGCAAGGTTTTTCAAACAGGTGTCCTCAATAAAGAGCTCCACCGTGGCCCAGAAACACACACATCACACGCCTAAGGTGGACAACTTCACCTCAGTAGTTACCCCCATGGGGTTGTGGGTGGCACTCTTGAGGCTAACACAGGAGGATTGCAAGTTCAAGCCTAGCTTGGGCAATATATTGATGTAGCAAGACCCTGTTTCTAAATAAATAAGTAAATGGGTGGGGGAAATAGCTCACAGTGAAGGGCTTTGGTTCCAGTACTGGGAAAGAAAAAAGCTCCCCTGATGATGAGCGACACATGTTGATACTTTCTCATCTTGAGTTTAAAAAAATACCAATCTTTAAACCAGGGCAGGTGGTGGACACCTGTAATCTCAGCCCTCGGGAGGCTGAGGCACGAGAATTACCACGAGTTCTAGGCCAGCCTGGGCTACATAGTGAGACACTGTCTCAAACAAAACAAAACAAAAAATGCCGATCTTTACCCACTCAACTGATTTCATAACCCACAAATGGGCCTTGGTCCGCAGCTCGAAGGACACAGGCTGCCCCACAAGGAGAGAGAGAGGGAGTCGGTTGGAGAAGGGCGCACAAGGAATTCAGTTCAATTGTTAAGGTTTAATTTTTCAAAAACATTGGAACAAAAATCCAACCAAAACCAAAAACATCAGAACCAAACATTTATTTTTTTGGCGCCTGGGATCGAAGTTGGGTCCTTGTGCTTACAGGGCAGGGGGCAGAACCACTGAGCTAAACCCCCGCCCACTGGAACCAAATTTTGCAAAACACAAGTGCCTGACAAAGCTAGAAGGAAGGTACAGGATATTCTGTATATTTTTCTGTTGTCTCTTTTTCTGCAGTGGGGATGGAACCCAGGGCCTCAAACTCATTAGGAAGCCCTCTACCGTGAGCTACGTCTGCAGTGCAAAGTACTGCTCCTTAAACTATTCCTGATAATATCTGAAAGTCGGTGTTCCAGAACTTTAGGGAAAGCTTTATTTTACTTGTTTAGTTTATTTTTATTGTTATTTTTGGTGGTGCTGGGATTGAACCCAGGGCCTTCCTACTGAGCTACATCCCCAGCCCTTTTTAAATTTTTTATTGAGATCTTGATAAGTCATAAAGCTGCCTGGGCTGGGCTCAGACTCCCTATTCTCCTGCCTCAGCCTCCCCTAGTGCTGGGATTGCAGGAGTGTAGCACTGCACCCCGCTTGGACCTTTTCTTAAACTCCACCTCCAAGCCTCCGTATGTGAAGACGCTCCCAGTGGAGTTGGCTTGGCAGAAAACAGGTGTCCTGGGCCTGGGCTCTGCCACAAACAGCACGGGCTCGTGTTGCAGGGAAACGCCCAGCATCCATGTGCGGGTGCGTGTGCGTGTGTGCGCGTGCGTGTGCGTGTGGGGGGCAGAAGGTGGCCGCAGCATCCCCGGACTTCTCAGGGGGCCGTGCTCCCCGCCTCCTGACCTCCACTTCCTGGTGTGGGACCTCGGAGCCCGATCCATGGGCCTGAATCTCAGGGTGGAAGGACGGAACCCCGACCAGGCTGGGCGGGGGAGGCCGGGATGGAGGGGCTGGTCCGGGCCTGCTGGTGACCTCAGCGTTTGGCCTCTTTCTCTGGGCTTCGTCACCTCTTTTTGGCAGAGTAGACTGGATGAGCATTTCCAAATTGCAGTTTACAACTCATTTGATACAACATTTTTAAGCGAGCAAATTAGTGGGTTCCAACCAATATTAAAACAACCGCAACTGAAATGCATAGAAAACATCAGAGTGCGTCAGGGCTCACGGGCTGAGTACTGTTTGGTGAAACTATTGTTTGGCATATCTATAGATGAGGTGTGGACTGGTTTGATGTGAAACTTATTTGTTTCGGTGGGGGCTGGGGGAGAAAGGGTGCGATGCCCACTGGCCTGCACCACTCTGGGGGCGTCCCCCGTCCACGGGGAGGGGCTGTGGGCAGCCACACCCAGGAGCCGTCTCCACCTCTCCCGGGTCTCTCTTCTTCCCGCTTCTGCCGCGGGTCCCCTCCTCCCCTTCTCCCAGAGACAAACGCCCCCCCACCCCCGGAAGTGAGGGCTCTCCCAGGGGAGTAGCTGGTGGGACTGGGGTGACATGGGCACTGTGCCCCAGGAGTTGCAGAAAGCACTAGGAAACAAACACCCGGCACCCGCGAGCGGCACTGACAGTAGGCGAGCAGGGGCTCAGCTGCGCGCGTCTGGCGCTGACGCCTGCCCGGTCGTTCCCCTGGACTTGGCCCTGCGCTCGGCTGCGCCACGAACTAGCGAAGATGATGATGTTCTGCCCCGCACTTCTACTTATTTTTTTCCTTAAAGGAAAAACAGAAGGAGCCAAGAGCTTTGGAGCCAACTCCTGGAGAGGGAGCGGCTGAACTGATTCGGAAGTTGTATCCCTGTACACAGGAATGCGGAGAGAAAAACAAAACCCACCCCATTGCCTCATTTCCCCTCCAAGCGTGGCGCTCTCTATTGTGCAGCGGAGAAAAACGGACCCCGATCCGCGCTGCGGAGGGGCGAGCGCGCCCCCAGGCTCTCAGCTGGGCGCGGGCCGCGCGGTGGGCGCGGACGGGGTCTCCGGGTGGCCAGCGGAGGCGCCGGGCTCCCCCTTCCGCGGGCGACAGCGCCGGTGCCCGTCACCCGCCAGTGGCAGCGCCGGGCGCGCCGAGGGCACAGAGCCCCTGCCCGCCGGGCCTCCCGCCGGCCGCGCGATGGGCGTGGGGAGCGGGCCGCGCACGTGGGTGCCGCCGGCGGGCGGGCGCGGGGCCGGGCGCGGCGTCCCCGCCTCCCGGGCGGGATTTGCATGAGTGCGGCGGCTCCGACTTCCTGCTCGCGCCGCGCCGCAGGTACTCGCGGGCCGACCGGGCGGGCGGGCGCCGAGACGCGCGCAGCTTCAGTCCTGGACACGGGCCGCGCCGCGCCTTCGCCCCGCGTGGCCGCCAGCCCGTCCCGGCCGCGCAGGGCTCCGGCTCCGCCGTGGGGCGCCCGCTCCCCGCCCTCCGGACGCCGCGCCCCGGGCCGCAGCCATGAGCGAGATGTCCAGCTTCCTGCACATCGGGGACATCGTCTCCCTGTACGCCGAGGGCTCGGTCAACGGCTTTATCAGCACTTTGGGGTGAGTGGGAGCCGGGCCCGCCTGCCAGCTGCGAGCGTCCTGTCGCCGCGGCCCTCGCCGCCCGAGGAGCGGCCCGGCCCCGGCCTCCGCGAGCCAGGGAATGCGCTCCCCGCTCGGAGAGGAAGTGAGCGTTTGCTCAGGTAGCAGCCGGCACCCCGCGGGGTTGGCAGGGGTGCCCGGCCGAGCCTCCCCCTGCGGCACCCTCGGGCGCGCGCCTGACTTCGGAGGGCGCGACTTCCCCTGCAGGTGGCCGGGCCGGCACGTGGGCCTGGGGTCCCGGGTCTGGGCGGAGCTGTGGGAGTGGCCAGGCCCGGTCGGAGTCCGGATCCCCTCCGGTTACCCACCCCGGCCCCTGCGGGTCACCCTCCTCCCTGTCCCACCGCCTCGGGCGGGACAGTCTTCTCAGCCCGCCCCTTCCAGGCGACCCGCTTCTCCCCCGCCTCTCCTGTCAATTTCCTGTGCTGCTCGTCTGGCGCCCCTGGGTCTCAGGTCCCAGGTTCTTTAGAGCCTCCGCGCACAAACATTAATTAATTCTGGCCGCCACCCTCAGGGTCTGGGCTGGATAAATGGCGAATCCGTTCTTGTCCCTGGACAGGGCCGGGAGCAGGAATAAGGCAGGAGCAGAACTGGGCGGAGAGTGTGGATTTCTCTTGGGAGCCGCTGGGTGGGGGCACTGGGGGCGTCACGGGAGATGGGGTACAGGGGCTCTGGGACAGCCTGCTCCTTCCCTCCTACTTCCTTCTTCTGAGACAGGTTCTCACTGTGTAGCCCAGGCTGGCCTTGAACTTATGGGAATCCTCCTGCCTCGGCCTCCTGAGTGCTGGGATTACAGGCACGTGCCACCACGCCTTGGGGTGCTTGGAATGTTGCCTTAGTCCTGGGGGAGGGGAATCCATTGTGCTCTGCCAGGGGCCCCTGACCTGGAATCCCAGCATTTCTTGTTCCTTATCTTTGCACCCCCAGCACTCCTGTTCTTCGGTGTTCAGACGTGGATTCCTGCCTCCCCTGCTAGATGTGGTTTCCCGGTGCAGAGAGGGTGCACATCTGGGCCAGCATCTGTGCAGGCCTCCCCCAGAGAGCAGTGCCCAGGCCCCCCTCAAATCCCCCCAGGAGGCCAGGCGCCAGTGGGGGAGGTGCGGGCTGAACCTCTGGGGACTGACGCCGCCTTGATTGCTTAGTGCCCGCTCTAGGCGGAGCACATGGTGGGGCTTCGGGGGCACCTGGGAGCTTTAGCAGAGCCAAGGAAAGCCTCAGGTTTCCCTTCCCTCAGGCAGCCTGGCCCGACTTCCTCCTAGCCTGGCCCTCCCGCCCCATCCCGAGCAGGTCCCATGACCACTGAGTGTGGTGCGCCCCAGCTCCCCGCCCTGGCCGAGGCCCGCACTCCAGCCCTGACTTCATCCGGCCACCGTCACCCTTCTGGAAGCACCTGGGGTCCAGGTGCGGCTCCTGGAACCTGTCCTGCTCCTTCTCTTTACCTTTGCTCCCCCTCTCTGGTGGCTGCGCCTGAGTAAATCTGTCCCACCCTCCTGGACCTGGGGTGAGGTTAGCCCGGGCCCTGCCAGCGCCAGGCGGGATTAACCCTTCTGCGCCTGGGCGTTCAGACTGCTCAGTGTGCTGGGATCTGGTGGACCCAACCAGTGGCGGCACTGCCAGAATGAACCCACGAGTGACACCCATGAGTGACCATTCACACTCAGCACCCATCTCCGTGGGCACCGCAGTGTGCGCTGGGAGCTGGTGGTGAATGAGGAAGCCATCCAGTAGGTCCCAGGGGGTTGGCGGGCCAAGTGAGACTTGCACCCTGCTCTGTTGGTCCAGAATCTTCCTCCATTCCCTTACATGTAAACAAATTCTAATTTTGCAGTATTGGGGATTGAAACCAGGGCTTTTGCACTGAGCTACGTTCTCATCCCTTTAAAAACTGTCAAACTTAGGTTTCGCCCCCTGCTGTACAAGTGCAAGGACCCAAGTTCGATCCCTGGTACCAAAAAAAAAGCCAAAAAACCCAAAAAAACTGTCAAACTTTGAGGCAGTGCCTGGTTAAGTCGCTCTTATCCAGGCTGGGCTCGAATCTGTAATCCTCCTGGAGTTTCGGGATCACGGGGGCCACGCCTGGGTTCTCTTCCTAACTGGGGTCCTGATTCCCTCCCTGGGGCTGCCTCTGCCATGGTCTTGATCCCTGGAGGCCGAGGAACTGAGCTCCCAGCCAGTACCGTGCCCAGGCCCGGTGCCATGAGGTGCCAGGGACTGTGTGAGATGCATTTGTGGGGCACAGGGTGGGGGGCTCGGAGGCAGCGTCTGGGCTGGGGAGGCTGGGCAGAGCTCCCGAACAGTGGAGTGGCCAATTAGAGCCTGCAGTAATTAGTGGCAGTGCAGATTGTTCATTAACTCTGGGCGGGAGTGCGGGAGGGGTCGGGATGGATCCTGCTGCAGGGGAGAGCAGGTCCACGCCTGTTCCTGTTCTTGGCAGGAAACCGTGGTCAGGGCCCTGCCTCGCCCCCCGCCCAGGTGGAGGCAGCAGAGGCAGGGCTGGAGCGGAATCAGGGCCAGCAGGAGTGGGAGGATTTGGCGAGGCTCTGGGCCGGCAGCTGGGAGACCTGGCTGGAAGCGGGCAGGGCGGCCCCCTGGGATCCCAGGTCCCAGCCCTGAAAGTTGCTCGTTTGGTGTTGGGTCTGGCTACGTAGCCCAGGCTTGCCTTGAACCCATGGTGATCCTCCTCCCTCAGCCTCCTCCTGGCTGGGGTTACAGCCTGCACCACCACGCTCTGAAGGTGGCTCTTGAGTGCCCACAGGGGCAGCCCCAGGCCACAGGCCGTGAGAGGGGAGTGCGTTGCAATTGGCTTGAAGGAGAGCTCCAGGCGCTTAGGGAAGGTCTACCTTGACAGGCAGCCTGGCCACCCTGGGCCCTCACTGGTGGCCTCTGGACCTGGGCCGGGCTGGGGATCACAGCTGGCCAGAGGTCCCAGCCTCCTCCCAGGAGGCTTCCTGGGGGCACAGGGAGGTCGGGAGCCTGGGGTGAATGTGGGGAGAGCCCAGGTCCCAGGGGCGGAGCCCAGAGGCACGGTGATGGCCAGGAAGATTGCCTGCCCAGGGTCATCCCTGGCTTGGGGATGCTCCGACAGGGCGGCCTCCTCCCTGTGCGGTCAGTTTTCGTTTTCCCTAGGGTGCCCTGGGCAGGCCTTGGGCTCCTGGGATCGTTTCAAAAACTCCTGCTTCCAAGTCCCACATCACCAGCATCTTCAGGGGTGGGGTCCGGTGTTCAAAAGCTCCCACTTGAAGGCTTGCCTGCCCAGTCCGCTGGCTGGTGGGTCCAGAGAGCCTTCTCTTTCTCCTGATCAGACTTCATTAAGTCATTCAACAAATGCTTATTGAGCGAGCACCTAGTATATGCCAGCCACCGTTTTAGGCCCTGGGGAATGAGTCGTGTCAGCTTGTTCCGCTGCGCAGTGGGGAGTGGGGCGCCGTGGTCTCCAAGGACCCTGTGAGCCCGCAGCATTGAGACACGAAATTCCACGAGGAGGGACTTCCTCTGAGCGACCGCATTCCGATCTCAGACCTGCCTTGTTTTTCATACTTGAGATTTCACTGGAACGAGATGTTTGATTTGTGTTCCATAGCCTAAGGCAGTCGCTTGGCCTCAGCTAGCCCGATCGTGCCACTAGATTTTTGAAAAGAAAAGAAAAAAAGTACATTTTTCTCATTAAAAAATAACTTGTCTATGGAGAAAGCTTGAAGAACTCAAAATAGAAAATGATCCTTAACACCACCGTGACTGTACTGTCAGCACCCCGCGGACCCCCTGCCCCGCCGGGCGCCCCGCACCTGCTGCGTGGCCGGTGCCGGGCGCAGCGCCGGGGTGCGCAGGCTGCACATGCGCAGTTCGCCCCAAGGACCCTGGCCTCCCAGGCTCCCCGCTGCCATGCTCTCTGGAGGCGGAGGGCGCGGCCAGTCCGACCCACTTCAGGACTTCACGCGGCTCTGCCCTCCGGTGGGGCCGGGCGGGGCAGGGCGGGGTCCCTGTGCCAAGTGCTGGGCGGGGCGGAGGGCGGAGCCCAGCCTGGTTCCTTCCCTGGGGTCCCAGGGGTCTCCGCCACAGGCGCCCGGCCTGGCCTGAGAGCCCCGCTGCCCGCTGCCCGGCTTGCGCATACTGCGTGCCCCGCCCTGCATTCCCGACCCGCGCCCCTCCCGGCTTGGCCCGTGGGCGGAGGCAGAGACTCCAGTGAGGGCGTGGACACCCCAGCTTTCTGCTCTGGCTGTGGACTTCACCCCATGTAGAGTGGGGGGCTCCCTGGGCGGGGCCGGGAGCAGGTCAGCCTGGCCAGGCCGGCGGTCAGGGCCCCTGGCCTAGAGAGCTTGGGTAGCACAAAGGGCCTTCCGGCCTCTGGGCTCGGGAGAGGCCACAGGGTAGCAGCAGGCTCGGCGCCTGCAGGTGTTTTGGCCGCAGACGGGCAGGGCTGGAAGGGGCGGAAAGGACAAATCTCAGCCTGGTGCAGGTGCAGGTGCTGGCCGCAGATGCCCACGGGTATTTGGTTAGCAAATCCCGTTTCCTGGCGCTCTCAGCCTCAGGCCCCTCCCAGGCCGCGGGAGAGCAGTGTGCAGACGCCGGTGTCTGCGCTCGGTCACGGCCGAGGGGGGAGGGTGTGCGTCTGGCGGACAGTGGCGGACAGCTGCCGTTGCGCTTTACAGCTGGCCTCCACCTTTGACCCCCTCGCCACCAGCTGAGGCCTAGGGACAGTTCAGGAAGAGGACAGAGGGCCCTGTTGAGCACCCATCTGCCCGCCCCGAGGCTTGGCTCCTGTTTCCATTTCCCTTGCTGTGCTGCACTTATTTTTTGCTGAGCGATTGTATGGTATCTAACCTACACGGCTTCCTTTTACCTCCAAACACTTCACCATGTGTCCCGAAGAAATAAGGGTGTGCCACGGAGCCACGGTGCTGTGACCACACCAGCCAGTGTGCCGACAGCTCCCAGTGGCCAATCCATAGACAGGCCAGGCTTTG